GCTACAGTGTGATCTACTCCACTCTGCTGGATTCTTGTCATCCAACCACTTAGCAGTTTCAGCATCAAGTTTTGCAATTGCCTCCATTCTTCTTATGAATTGCATTGGAGTAGTTGCCTTAGCTGCTTTCTAGAGAGCTTTCCTCATTGCTGCCCCTTTGAACCCAGTAGATGACATGTTACTATGCATATGTTTAACACAGAATCTGTGAGTTGCATTCAAAAAAAATTTGTTTCACATGCTTGGATTATTCCCTTTTGCTTATTACTCATTATTGTCCACTCATAGTCCCTTTCAATTTTCAAATCTTCCTTGGGTAATGTTAGAAACCAAATCCAAGAGTCTTTGGTTTCTCCCTCAGTTGCTGCATAAGCTATAGGATACATTCCATTATTTGGATCAACTCTAACTGCTGTCAATAGTACACACGCCGCTGAACCTTTGAGAAAAATTCTATCCAATCCGAACACAGGTCTACAAGCTGCTAAGATTCTAAGAACCCCTGTTTTACCCCAACAAAACACATGTATAATCTCTGAAATTTGCCTTATCCAGTTACTGCATTACAATAGTCATCTACCAGCTTCATAACTACTATGCTACCTAGATTACTTCTCTCGATTTCATTGATATATTGAGGCAGTTTATTATATTAATCCATCTCACTACTTTTGGCCAAATTCTCTGCAATTTCTTAGCTCTATAGTCTTAATGTTTACTAAGATAACATTTGTGCTCCTTCATTACCAAATTTTTTGAAACTAACATTTCCCAAATAATATTTCGCTTGCATCATAAACACATTTCTCAATTCACCTTTTCATATTCCCAATTACTTTTTATCTCACATACATCACATCACAAAAAGTGCTATAGTAATTATTCCAAATAATATTTCAAATAATACTCTATCCAAACACACTCATAGTCCAGCCTTGGGTTCTCCCTAAATATGCCAACATACCTTCTTCCTACCCATCCAAACTTCACACTCTTGTTGTGGTATGAAAATCCATATTTGTGCTTCTTTTGAAATATTCTAACCTCCAATCTGTTATCCCCTTTCATCCTCCTAGCATATATGCACCAATCACACCCATCTTTAGGACATATTGCTCTAATTCTTATGATGTCACTCTTGATAAATTTAAATGGTCTCCCTCTCCTAATGTTCCAGGTTCTAATTGTTTCTTTCAACTCCTTGAAGGAAGAAAAAATTTGTCTAAGTTTAATTTTGGGGTTATTTTCATCCTTGGGATCAAACATAGGGGGTCTCAAGCTTTTCTCTTCATCCGACCCTCTATCACTACCAATATCAGTATTTGAATTTGGGGCAGCATCTATGTCAGAATTGTCATCATCACTTTCAGTATCATTAGACATTTGTTTCCTAGGTATGTGGTTCATCCTAACATATGTAGACTTTTTTTTAGATGCCTATTCGGCTGCTCTTGTTTTCTATTTTTTACCCCAACCATTCAGAATCTTCATCAACATTTTCATCATAATCATTATCATCTGAATTTTGATCATAATTTGAGTCTTCTCCTGAGAACTCCGCCAAATCAGAGCCTGAACTAGCCATATATTCATCATCATATTCATCCTCTTCATCTTCTAACACAAAGTCCACATCCTCAATGTCAGACCCCTATTGTGATGCTAGTAGATCACTAAAAGAATCCTCTACATACAAATCAACCACCCTGCTAGAGTCAAAATGATCAGCACAATATGCATGTAATTCTCTATCATGCCTTAACAAACGAAATCCATATTTCTCGATTAGGATATGGTACTTTTTGTCACCAACTGCTTGAAGTTGATTTTCTAGCATTCTATTCATTTCAAATAGACTAATGCTTGTGACCTCTACATGATAAAAAATCCTTAATTCTCCTCCCTTATAATGCACATTAGGTTAGGTTTCACATTTTCCCCATATATAACACTTCATAGTTACTTCAGTGCTATCACTGTTTGAATTTAAGGACAAAAAAAATAAAACAAACACAATAAACAAGTACCATAAGTGACAAATTAGATTATATAAGCAGGTAATTTGCACTCAATCAGCTTCAAGACAATTCAATAATACACCTCCTGCCATATAAAGTTCAGACAAGGACCACTTACAAAGTCTCATTTAACCCAACATTGTCTACCATGACAACCCACTCCAGAGAGACATACGGGACCACATACAATGGTAGACAAGTTTGTTTTTAGGGCCTTATCAGATTACTTAAAAATCCAAAATTTACGATATTTTTTGTCTCCCAAGTGAAAATATCACCATTCATCATCACATTCTTACAATATAAGCATGAATTAAGCATGCATAATGCTACATGAGGTCAAAATCACATACCGTAATCTAGTGGCGGTGATCCATTCATTTCTTTTGGTCTTAGTGCCATTTCCTCCTCCCAGATTCACGAACAACTCCATTATCACCGAGTTCTTCAAGATTTTTCTTCCGATTTACTGATTTTATGCACGGAACTTAATCTGGTTTTCTGTTCTCATTTCTGGAGACTGAAGTAAAAGAAAAAAGGGGTGTTTTTTTTATTTTTATTTTTGCCTTTTTTGGTTATACAATTAGTGTGTTTTGTCTTTGCTAATAAAAAAAGGGGGGACTAGAAAGCTGGAAATAATTTTGTATGAGTTTTCACGCTAAAAAAATTGAAAAAAGGATTTTAACCGCCGGCACGTGCTCTCTTCTGACTTGTTTCCAGCAAAATTTGAAGAAAACCCGTTAATTGTCCACTTTCGAGCAAATTTGGATAGATTGGGGACTACATTTGTTCTCCAAAATAGATTGGGGACTAGTTTCACGTATTTGTTATAAATTGGGGACCAAAACTCCAATTCTCCCTTTTTTTTATTTATGTTTTATGCTACTTTTCCTTCTTCTATTTTGGAAAACTGATGTAGCCTATAAATATCTTAGGATTTTCTTTCACCCATTTTGTTCTTTGTTTTTTGTTGACTGCTGTTGTATGACAACATAGGCATTGACATTTTACGAAATTTGATAGTTTTGGAATGTTTATCAAATCAATTGATTTATCGACACAAATTGAGTAATCATCATTTATTCTTGCCTTCTGGTAGTGTTATCTTCCTTTTTTTTTAAAATTATTTTTACATGAGAATGGTTAAGGATATGTGGAAGGCTTTGGTGGTGATGCCATTAAGGAAAGGAGAGAAGATACAAAATGTTAGATTACATACATCCAAATTGAAATACTTAGCCCAGAAGTAGTATATATTATTGTTGTCGTTTGCTGGTCAATAAATGGATTCAAAGTTAGTCCTTTTTTTTTTTTTTTTACAAATTGACTTGAGTAATCAGGGAATAGCTTTAGAGCTATGTCGTTTGATAATTTTCAATAAATTGACTGTTTTAAGCTTTTCGTGTAGTATATAATTGTTTATATAGTCCTGTCTTACTGTTCATGCCATAATGTTCTCTTTTTTTGGGCCACCATTTGCTCATTTTCTTTTGAGGGCTGCTTTACTTGAAATTTTGCCGCGGAAGTAAGAGCAAATGTCGCAAAGAATCGTACACCGTGTCTTGGCCAAGCCCAATTGTTGCTTGTTAAGACCCATTGCCCAGCTAAACTTTGAGCCCATGGGTCTTGTCTCAGATTATTTGAAGTTGCTTTTATTTCTTAAATTGTAATATTAATCTTGGCCTTATTACTGTGTGTGTGCGCGTCTATACGTGTATATGTATATATATTGATTTTGATTTTTGTGGTGGATAATGTTTAAGAATGCAAGGATAATTTAATTTAACTTTTGTAACAATTAAAGATGCTGGTCACTAGGTGCTAAATTACAAGCATAGCATAGTTGTTAACATTTTCATTTCTTTTGTCATTCTTTAAAAAAAAAAAATTTTTGTCCCATTTCATATTGCACATCCCACCATCCCCTTCTTTAATTATAAGAACAGAAAAGGAATAAAAAATAAAAAATTATTTGCATTGAGCTTTCCCTATACTGGCTTGTGAAGCCTTTGCCATGCCGAGCATGAATGCCACAATTAAAATTAAATTCAATTATTTGTACATAGAAGGGTTAATGTTCTCTACATTGATAATATATAAGCGAACAGAACTGGATGCATTTAACAAATATAAAATTTAGATTTGAAATCCAAATTATGACAGGAGAACCAGCCTCCCTAAAGGAGGACATAGTGCTAGATTTTGAATTAATCGATGACCAATGCAGTCCCCGGACAATGAGATATTTACAGCGAAATTTTTTTTTTCAAATTGTGATGAGTTACATTCTATTGTAAATTATTTGCCACTAATAAAGTGGTTCCATATGTTCTTAAAACCCAAGTCGTAAGAACATTTACCAGCACTTCACTTCAACTCTCAATCCTCCTCCATTTGTATCTATAAAGCACAAAATTTCTCTGACTAAAAGTTATTGGAATATAACTGGTTCCATATTGGATCAGTAGAACCATATCCTTTCACTACTCAAAAAGTGAGTTTTTTTTTTTTTTTAATATTCTCAGAGCTATATAAACGGATTTACCAAAACGATATGCCCTTACTTTTCATTTCTTTTCTTCCTCTAATTTCGAACATCATTTAATACTATTAAAAGAAAAATGAAGGAATTGAGGTTTGAGAATGGTAATGGCCAAATGTAAGCTAAACAGTCAAAGAAGAAAAGTGTGTCAATAAGGCTATAACCATATGAAAGCCAGGTCACTGGTTGTAGTCCCAGTTGGGGGAGAGCTAGGTCACGGGATCGAATCCCCGGTTTACCGTGGCTGGTGATGCTTAGGGCGAGCCGCTCCCAGCCCGCAGTGGGATTAGTTGGGCCGTACGGTAACCAGTCCTTGGGCCCAGATACCCACTGTGAAGAAAAAAAAAAAAAAAAGGCTATAACCATATGAAAGTCAAAATCCTTATATTTAAAGACTAGCTATAAATGCTTGAACGGTTGAACCCATCTTTAGCGTGGATTTGCTAGGAAATGAACTTCTTTTTCTTTTGGTACGAGGATATGATTTTCAAAGATTCAATGGCAGCCACTCATTCGGATATAGTAGTAGATAATGAGCACTTAGAACTCTCAGGTTCTAGATGATAACAAAATGCTGATGCAACAGAGCGCCAGTTTTTGTGGTGCTAAGGCTTCTTTTTCCTTGCCAAACTTAACTCTTAGAAAACCTGCCACATTTCCATTGGCAAAGAAGCGCGATTTGCCAGAGAATTCACCAACTGAACAACCAAATTTTTCTCTCAAAATTTCAAACACATTTCTTGCACAGTCTGCGATTGCAGTGTTTTCATTGGGATTCATCGATGCCGGGTAAATATGTACATGTCTGCAGGTCCTTTCAGTTATCTTAAGCAGTTATTTCTCGTTTTGCAATCACTTCGTGTTAATTCAGGTACAGTGGAGATTGGTCAAGAATTGGAGTTATCTCGAAAGAGAACGAGGATTTGCTGAAGGCTGCTGCTTTTGTTGTAGTTCCACTTTGCTTGTTTCTCATATTTTCTCTTCCCAAGAAATCAGAAGATTGATAATCTGTCTTTTAAGTTTTGAACAATAATTCGTTGTCCTTCTGGGAAAAATTTGGATGTACAAACAGCTTGCAGAATGCAAGGAATTATCCTAAGGGTGCTACTATTATGACTTACAAAATAATTAGCGAAGTGCAGATGATTAGAAATCACCTTTTAGTCTTCAGAAAAGTTCAGATATTGCTGTTGTAGAAAATGTTAGAAATTTGGCATTCCAGCAATGCCAGTAGATCGATCTCATTTTTTATGTCACTGCAATTTCGTTTAAATTGCAATACCTACAAGCCTAGATGATTCAAGGCAGAAGTGATTTAAATGGAATAGTTACGCGAACTAATCCACAGAGACAAACAAGGGTTGATTCATGATCAAACACCAAAAAGAAAATCCAAAATTCAACTAGAACCTCGTCTAGATTCAAGAAGAATCCAATCTAGGTATAGAATCCAAACACACCAAGTGTTAAAAATTTCAAGAATTATATCAAAAGTCTCATAAAACAAGCCCTAATACTTTCCTATATATAGCTAAGAAGTTCTAAATCAAAGAGGAAATGAAATTACATAAAAAATGGAAACCAAACGGAAAATGCAAAAACAATCTGATGAAGTCTGGCATCGGTTGTGGCGCTGGAGTTGTCGTTGGAAGTCTTCGGGAAGCAAAACGTGGGTGATGAAAACACAGGTGAGGCCATATTTTAGGCCGTGCTTTCATCCTGATGCTTCAGAATGTTCTCCGCGCCGCTTATTCTTATGCTCCTTTGCTTCATCGATTTGGTCTAAGATTTCTTGTGCCACTCATTCCACACCAGTCCTCTCCAATTCAAAAGAACTCGATCTCGAATTCCCAAGGAAACTTTCAAGCACCCACAGACTAGCAATTCCACGATTCTCCTTTGAAGTCAAAAAGACCTTTCAACCACCAACACGAACTGGATTATAAAGAAAACTTGCAACTCCATCGCCATGGACTCAGATACAAGTTCAAAAGCAATGACCATATCATTCTCCATTGTCAAAATAAATTTGGAATTGTCCTCTTGAACAATGAAAGTCTTCATTAGATCAGGCTTCTTCTCGACACCCACTGCTTGAAGATTCACCAGACTTTGATTCACCCAATCTTCACTAAAAGCTGGCATGAACTCTATTGGGGTTGTATCTAGTGGCTTACTGAGATGCACGCTACCTTCTTCAACTTGTGGCACTTTCTCTTCAAGTATATCATGAGAAATAACTTCTTCCACTTTGACAGCATCTAGCTCATTACCTCCATTCAAATCACAAACCAAAGTTATAATAGTTAATAAGTTATTGTCAACCATATGAACTACTTTGGACCGTTACCCTGGCTTCATTGGCACTAAAGCAATCTTCTTCTTGCCATCCTTAACGAAGCGATAGACATTTTCCCTTCCATAGAAAGTCACACCTTGATCATACTGCTATGATCTTCCAAATAACAAATGACATGCAACCATATCCACCATATCACACATAACACTATCAATATAATATTTACTTATGGACAAAGGAACTAAATACCTCTTTAACTACTTTTACAGATTTCACATCCTTTATCCAGCTAATCATGTAAGGCTCATGATATAGTTCAACAAGCAAATTTAGCAATTTAACCAAAGTACTAAAAATAATATTTTCACAGCTTTCACTATCAATCTAGAAATAATATTTTCACAGCTTTCACTAGCAATTACCAAGTCAAAAAATTGATTAAAACTTTTGCACCTGGTTCTAAAAATTTGCTCGCGTCATTTATCAAACTTTTCCTCCCTAGACTCAATTCTTTGCACCGCATACACTAGTCACTCACAGCTTTTCTCCTCCATATCATCCTGTCCCGTATTTTTCACAAAATTCATAGCCTTATGTTATGGACAGTTATGTGATTGATGCCCAGATTGCTGACGTCTTCAACACTTATCGCACATTGGCTTAGCGTAGGTATTCATATTAGCTTTAGGATTTTGTGGAGGGTTTGGATTGGTATTGACCTTCTTAATAGTTCCCTTCACGTCACTAATTGGTCGTGCTTGGACAAACCTTTGGTGCTGACCAAGATGCTTCACTGAATGGCGATTCTACGAACTCTTCTACACGATCCTCCGAACTCCCTTTCCCTGCATTTCGTTTCCAAGCCAAATTCATCTTAGCTTTCAAGGCTAGGTTGTTTGCATCTGACAGCTTAAAAAATGGTTGAATACCAGTTTCTTCCCATACACTCGTATCTAAACCATCCAGGAACCTCAACATGAGTTGACCCTCGGTCTCCATAATATTGTTACAGGATTGTAATAGCAAAATTTCAGAATAATATTCATGAACAGACCTTTTACGTTGGGTACAGTGTTAAAATTGTAAGTACAAGTACGACTCCTAATCAGGCAGTAAAAATCTAGTAGTCAAAAGAGGCTTCATTTTAACCCATGTCCTTACAGGCTATTTTCGTCAGTGACGCCTTCGAGATTGCAACTGTTCCCACCAAGATGACGCATTACTCTTCAACTGATAAGCCATGAGTTTGACTTGTGAAGTCTTTGGGATTTCCATGTAGTTGAAGAATCTTTCAATTTCTGCAATCCAATTCCTCAATACCTAAATCACCATTGAAGGAGGGAAGATCCACCTTTAATTTAAAATTTTCAGGCTCTCAATTTTGACTCGATTACCTCTTTATTAGGGCTTTCCCTGCCAAATCAATTAATGTCTCGTTTGCAAACGAATCTTCCTCATAGGCCTGCTATCTATGAAGTCTTCGTTGCTCATCAATGACTCGAGTTCGGTCAAAGGGCACTCTGTCATCATTCAAACGATCCATCATGATATCCATGAGTATGTTTGGATTGTCAATTATTTTACTTTATTTATATCTTATTTATATATACTGATTTACTTGTATCATCAATATATTTTTCAATCACCTTTTTATCTTACATACATTATATCAAAAAGTGCTATAGTATTTTTTCATAAAATTATCTCAAATAATTTACAATCCGAGCACACTCCATGTTTTCCTGGATACAGTTAATATAATTCTCCAAGCAACCAACTATTTTTATCCAAGCAATCAATCCATCTGTTTGTAATCTAAATTTACAATTTAGGGGCAGAAGTTTCATCACCAGATTTGTTGCCAGCCATTGGTATAATGTAGAAATAGGAGAAACCTACTCTGATACCAATTGACACAAGGTAGAAATAATTTAAATAGAATAGTTACACGAACTAATCCACGGTAACAAATAAGGGTTGAAAAACTTTTTGGACTTGATCCCGAAAGGTGTAAAACGATATTGGTTAGTCTTGTAAACATCAAAACCAAGAATGAGATCTTTTCCAGTAAAATTTGCTCCCAAAAATTTTGATTTTATTTGACAATCTGGGAGAAGTTTAATGGTGATTGGGTCTTTCGTTGTAAACTTTGTTTGAAAAAACTCACCATTAGCTGCTTTGAAATCATGAGTCTTATGGACCCAACATTCATCAGGTCAAATGTCTTTTTTCATGATTGACAAAGATGCACTTGAATCAAAGAAAGCAATTATTGGAATTGATTTGGAATACTTATCCAGGAAAATATGAACAAGCGTATGGGGATAAGACCCTTTGTTGTTTGTTCGTCGGATACTACATATTTTATCGGGTACCTGTAAGGCCAATAGGGTATGGTCAGTAACATCTTCCTGTTCAGAAAATTCATATTCTAAATCAGAAAATTGGAAATGAAGTTCATCCTAAATTTCTGAAATTAATTTTACTCCATTTTGATTTTGAGAACTGACAGGTTGTCGAAACCTGTACAATAATAAAAATAAACCTAATTGCCAGTTAAAGTAGCCAAAACCCGATTCCAAGTACTAGAGCAAGAACTCTAGGTGTGCAATGGGGCACTTGATTCACCATATTCCCGAAAATTTTGCTTGATCCGATATACCCGAATGTGATAGCTTTTTTCACAAATAATTATGAATTTGTAAACAGGGCAAGTAGGGTCGTATTCTCAGGGATTGAGGATATTTGTCTCTTAAGAAATTCAAAGTAACACGGGGGGTGTTTTTGTATAAACGAAGACAATCAAAGAAATTCAAATAAAACTAAAAATAAATAGCTAGCTAGAAATTAAATGACAATTCACTAAAATTAGAGTAAAAATAATTAAAGGTCTAACCAAGAAATATTCAACAATGGTTCACCTAATTGATCAACGATGCACAAGCAATTCCAATTAGTTACTAATAAATAGATTATAACTGACAAACAAGCGATGACAGTCAATCCCTCCTTACTGTATCGGAGATTAAGGTACACCCGTTAATCACTGCTCTAATTGGGAAATAATCCTAGGTACGCCCATAAGATTTAATTCTTCAATTGCCTTACGTGTTAGAGGAGCTCTACTGTAACTAAATAAAGCACTACCAGGGTTATTTCAGATTAGCCCACATATTTCCCTGACACAAATCTAATCATGTCAGTTGTCACTATTTTAAAGCAATTAAGCAATTAAGGATTTAATGCCCTAATTGACAATAGATTACCAAATTAACTAATTATTCGGATCCAAGACAATTAATTAATTAAATAATCACAAGCAATGCAAACAAGAAATATGCGAATACCAATAAATAAAAGAAAAAGATAAAATTAAATCGATTTCACAATTTTTAGACGAACCAAAACCTCTGTTGTTCCTTGACTAGAGTGAGGGAATTAGTTCATATTTGATACGAAAAACCCATGCAAAATTGAAGTAAAAGTCGCAGCCATTGTCCTTGATCGAGGGGGTTCAATTCGTTCAATTGGTAAAAGAATACAGAAAGTGATTGAATCCTCCAAGGGCTCCTGACATGCGCAGGAGGAATCCACCCAAGACTTCAAGGAAAAGTCAAAAGAAACGTTAAGCTAAAAGTCCTGCGTATCAAGAAGATGAAAAACTACTCAGAACTAAAGAAACGAAGAAAAGTCAAAAGCTAAAGATAGTGCTAGTTCTCTGCAATCTCCATTTCGTATCTAAGTAGCCTACTGCTACTGTGCGGCCACCCCCCATCCAGCCGAAGACTCCAACCTTTTCTTCTTTTTCAATGTTGTCTTCCACAAATTACCAAAAAGGGTCCGCATCTTGTTGTTCCAAAAATGTCCCTGGATGCCTGCTACTCGAGCTCTTTCCTGATGATTGCTAAATTAGCACTTGTTATGGTGTTTTCGATCAACTCCCTGAAATAAATGTGA